ATTGCTGCACAATTGGTTTATTTGATCGTTGTATCCTGGAGGTGATTGTCCACAGAGGTCGCAGCAGTTATCGACGGGCAATTTCGCTTTAGGACATCGTGCTGTCACGAGACTCGATCTTTTGATAAGTTTTTCTGCACTTTACTGTTATTTTATCCAACACGTTTTTTGTGATTTATAACTCATCACACCATGAAATCTTTTGTTGGGTTTTATTTCACATAAATTGCAAACAAAACACACAATAGATCATTTTCACTAATTCATTGAGCCACTGTTTGATGGCCATTACAAAGAAAAATTGAGGAAAAATGATGTTTTGAATAGTGAATTTTTGGATTACGTGTGGTTGAAAAGTGGGAAAAAGTTTTAGATTTACGTATAGAANAATAAATTGCAAACAAAACACACAATAGATCATTTTCACTAATTCATTGAGCCACTGTTTGATGGCCATTACAAAGAAAAATTGACGAAAAATGATGTTTTGAATAGTGAATTTTTGGATAACGTGTGGTTGAAATGTGGGAAAAGTTTTAGATTTACGTATAGAATATTTTATTGTATGAATGTTTTGTTGAAAATGAGTATGAAAAATGAAGAGCTTTGTTCTAATTAGAGTCAAACAGGAACTGGGTATTAGATATAGCAACCACCACCACCAACAATTATGGTGCTGGAGGACAAGGATGGTGCTGGTGCCCATGGCTTCCTACATAGATAACTTAGAGGGTTCATTAGCATCAATTGGTACTGAATTTTCCTTTTCTTTGCCAACAAATAGTGGGTTCTTGGATCAATTCTGGTGGCTTTGTTGTTTAACTGCAGAAATTGATCTAAGGTTGCATTTGTTATTGAATGCGTGTTCAAGAGATTTTGGAAATAGTACTTTATCAATTCCATGGATAATTCCAGTAGTGTAGTGGGAGTCCAAGAGGGCAACAAGGACAAAGTTGGAGTTGATTTTGGCCAAGTTAGACATCATTACACTGTAACTCGATCAGTGGCGGATCTAGCATTTTGAATTAACACGGACGGTCGTTGACTATCGACCGTGGGCAGTAATAAATTATTAAGAGCCCCGTTTGATGTCATTTTTTTGCAAAAAAATAAAGAAATTTTTTGAATTTGAATGTAATATTATTTTATTGAAAAATGTGTGGTTGAAAAGAATAGAGAATGTATTTTGAAAAGGGGGAAATCAAATAAGATCTAAAATTTAAATATAATAATTATTTTTTTCAAACTGAACATATATAATTATGTTGTACAAATTAGCAATATTCACCAAATGATATTGTGACCAAGTTTTGTATAATTCAAATGAAGTGCACTGGTTCAAATTTTTAAAATTGCATTAAACCAAATAAAATTTAACATATATTATTTTGGTAATTTTAGTGTCAAAGTTCCACAAATACCTTAAGGAAAGGTCACAGGTTCGAATTCAACAAATGAAAAGCACGGGTTAGAATTTTTACAATTGCCTTAAAAAGACTGGAATTTAATATATATTAATTCTGGTAAGTTTAGTGTCAAAGCTCAAGAAGTTTCATGATGGTCGGGTTTCAATATTTTTAACGAGAGGTCACAGGTTCGAAACTCCTCTCTATTGTGTTAATTTTTGTGAAAAATGTACAACTAAAAAATTCCACAATAAATCGGTTGAGGTGGGATTCAAAACCGAGACCTCCAAAATGAATATGCATGTTCTGACCAGCTAAGCTACAAGAAATGTTTGTCAGTGAAATGAATTATCAGTTTTATATTCTATAAAGTTTATCTATTGTGAAAAAAAAATGGTTCCTCGCGGATCCAGCACGCGCGATCGCAGGGGTTCGTCGAGTGCTGTGTCCGCCACTGATTGCACCAGCACCACCGCACCATCATCAGCACCACCACTACCTATAAATCACCACCACCATCGTAGATTCACACCACAAACACAACATCTCACCCAACAACACTACCGCACACACAATGACAGCGCACCACAAGCAAATCCCTAACCTACCACCGCACATATATCACCCCAAGCAAATGGTGTTGCTGCACAATACAAAGAACATTGACACTGCTGATCATCATTATCTCAGCTTCCAGGAAAAGAAGAAGATCGAAATAACAACTTCATGAAGGGAGAAAATGGGAAAGCATGACGTACAGTGTCAGCCTGAAGAAGAAGATCGTAAAAGCAGCTTCGTGAAGAGAGAAAACGAAAGAGCATGTTTTTCAGATTCATATTACCATACTTTTAAACATTTGTAACTATCCATCTCCTTGCGCCTGGTTTCAATTATAGAAGTAGACAGAGTAAATGCAGAGAAGAGAATAGAAAGAGTATAGAAAGAAAGTGAATATAGAGAGATTTGAGCTATTGTGCGGTGATAGAGTGAGAGAGAGAGAGTGGAGAGAGATATTGGATGTTGTGCGGTCAATGAGAGAGAAAGTTAGTAGAAATAGGGGTGGCAATCGAACCGAGCGGCTCGTCGGCTCGATCGCTCGACTCATCAAAAACGAGCCACAAGCCGCTCAGGCTCGTCAAAAAGACGAGCCCGAGCATGAGCCGAGCGCCCACGGGCGAGCCAACGAGCTCGCCCCCGGCTCGTGGGCTCGTCCAAAATTGAAGGTTTATTTCTTTTTTAAAAAAAAAAATTGACGAGCTCGCGAGCCGGAGCTCGACTCGGCGCACGAGCCACGAACTCAAGGGCCGAGCCGAGTTGCCACCCCTGAGTAGAAATATAGAGTATAGAGAGTAGATAAAAAATTATACACGGTTTTTTTATATAATAATTATCACCTGATAATTGAAAAAAAAATTGAATCTGATTTTTTAATTTGAAACTTAAAATGTAGGGTTTTGGATAATATTCTCAAAAAAAATCCAATTAATATTGCACACTAGAAAAATTCTAAGAGGATCATCTGTAGCCCTCTCCACTCCACTAGCTTTCTTGCCAGGCATCCCCTCATATTACTGCACTCGTATTAAACCCGATATGGTGAGCCCTCGATTGGCATTTGACCATACTTCCTCTATGAATACTCACCCACTGGAATATACACTAATTTTTGAGCTAATTGTTGGGACGCTAATTGTCCTCTTCAACCTAGACTTCTTCTTGCAGTATCACCGCCAGAGATCAGAAAGGTGTGCTCCTGGCATTTCTTCCCATATAGTGGTTTTTCTGGCGGAGATGATTACCCACCTTTACTGTTTGGCACACTTCCGTCACCAGTGATAGATGAAAGAAACGTCGACGATGAGTTCCCTTATGTCAACAACGTGCCGATAAGCTGAAACCCTCATTGCACTAACAAAAGGGGTGGAACCCACCATGCTTAGCTTGCTGAAATCAAGGGTAAATACCGATATCAGTACTGGTTTCAGCGCCACCTTAGCCTCTGGAGTTACAGCGAAGAGATTAATGTTCTGAGGCTGAATATGATAAATAATTCAAAAGGTGGCTCAACACTTTTGCAGCTGTTTGAGCTCCATTAAAATGAGATTTTGGGGGAAAATGTTTTTTGGAATAGTGATTTTTTTTAAGAATATGCAGTTAAAAAATAAGAAAAAAATTTAAGTTTCCGTGTAACATTATTTTATGAGAGGATAGGTGGCTGAAAATGATTTTGGAAAATGCAAGTTTTAAAAAGTTGTGCTCAAATAGGGGCTTTGTAAGTTGTCTGCAGTTTTGAGACAGAATATGACAGCTTTCATGAAATTCATGAATCAAGGTGAATTTATGGAATTGAATGATACTCAATATCGTCTTTCAACCACTGAGAAAGCAGTCAAGGATGTATGCGATATATCTGTGGCTCTAGACCCATCCAAAGATGTTCCAAATATAGAAGGATGGCCAATTTCGAATATTGCTGTGTTACTGACTGGTTCAAAAGGAAACTGTTTGCTCCATTTGGTAGCTTCAGTACCGAGGATGTCTTACGTCGAGGTTGACACAAGACATAGGGGCACTAGGCAGCTTTTTCTTGACCGGTCACTTTTTCGAAGTAATAACTATCTGTGCACGCATCGTGCATTGTGCGTGCCACTGTTTGAATATATGTGTGCGCATCAAATGCATCTATATCCTCCTGTACCTTAAAAGAGGGGATCCAAATTTACTATTCATCTTGAATCCGAGGTTTCACACCACTGTAGCCGAACGGGTTCCTACCGTTGACAAATCCCTCCCTACTTTATTGCTTCACTCCATTTCACACTCGACAACCATGTCGGTTTACTCTGCTTTTCCCACACAACCCTAGACTTCTTCTTTCTCTTCTGACTTCTTCTTTCTCTTTTCTATTTTTTTCTCTCGCCATTCTTTGGTTTTTTGCAATGAATCCTGGGTATAGTGGTAATTATTGGTTTATTATTATTTGGTCATTTTTCTTCATTACTATTGGCGTCTTGGCCAGTGCCTGGGCACTAGAATCTGTCCCTGTGCGTTGCCGTTTTCTGCCCTGCTCGCTGTCTTCCTTGTGCAATCCATTCGCTGCAGTTTCTTTGTGATTCTTGGATGTTTCTTT